TAATTTTTTTAGAGGACTGCCCTACTCGTGTTTACTTACCCTCGCTTTATCCAATAGATCTCGTCCATGCGTGAGACCATCAACGGGAACATCCAGCTCGGTAATGGCAGGTTCACACTCATCCAGGTTGTTGAGAATGCTCTCCAGCGTGTCCTCGTACTCCTTGAACTTGGCAAGACCTTCGCGCAATCGTCTTTCGATCTGGAGCGCGGTCGCCAACAGGCTCTTGTGACTATCGTTGACGTTCTTCAACTGCTTGCCGACGGTGTCCCGTATCGTGGGAGTGGTGGCCTCGTAGCGTTCGATCTGGGCACGACCTTTCCCTTCTAGATCGTCTAATGTAGCGCGGTACTTCTGTATATCATCTAGCAGTACCGCGTGCTGCGCTAGTTGCTCCTCCGTCTGCTCCCTGTTGGCGATGTACAGGGAGTTGTGCGCCATCAACTGGAACGACACCTGCAGCAGCCACTTCTCCGTATCCTGCAGCGATTGGTGGTACTGGTTGTAGTCCTTGATCTCGTTCTCCAGCTCCACTTTCTTTGCAGCGCACTTAGATCTTAGAGCGTTACACTTCTTCTCTATTTCTGTGACGGATTGCTTGACGGCAGGTTTCTTTGCCCATCCGCTGAGTTCCGCGGCTTCTTCTTTAAGTCTGTCTAATTCCGGTTTCTTGTTGTCTATTTCGTCCTCGATGTGCTTGTACTTCTCTAGCAAGGTCTTCATCTCGCCCAGCTCTCCGCCAGTCGGCGCCACTTTATCGAGATTCTGTTCGGTGTTGCTGATCCATTGGTTGAGTTTGTTCTTCGATTCCTCAAAGTCTTCCCATTTGCCGATCGCCGCTTTGAGCTGAGCAGTGATAGAGTTAAGGTCGATCTTCAGCTGATCCCAACTTTCTTGGAGAACCTGCACATCGTTACGTAAGCTGTCCTGTTCCTCAGGTGGTGTATTATTCAGAGCTTTCTTAAATGCTTCCTGCAGGACAACCAGGAGATGGTGACCCTCTGTCATTCTGTTACTGACAAGCTTAACAGTTTCCAGTTTATCTTTAGTGGTATCAATATCACCGACTCCGATGGAATCCTGAACGGTGCCGTGAGCGGTTTCTAGCCATTGTTGAAGTTCATTCTTAGCTTTGATGAACTCGGTATGATCGGACAAATTCTTTTCGCCGTTGGATACTAGACTTTGTATCTTGGTCAGTAAGGATGTATATTCGGTTTGCAAATTGACGGTCTTATCGCGAACCCAGGCGCAGGCACTGAGCTCCATGAGATTTTCACATCTGTCGTTCAGTTCTTCTAAAACGTGCTTGTTTGCGAGCGCTTGAGCAAGTAAATCCTATAAGGAAAGGAAACCGCAAAGTGTTAATTTTAATTTTAAACACACTAAAACACAGTACACAGAAGACAAAGAAAATAAATACTTACGCGACACTTGTCCAGATATTCGGGAGTGATTTTATCGACCTTTTGGACAGTGGCCAATTTACCTCCGAAGTCTTTTACCCAAGTGGTCATCTTCTCCGAAGTTTCCAAGAAATCAGACCAAGCGGAGAGACATTTCTCTAGAAGCTTCTTGGTATCTTTACAGATATGTTGTAGATTTTCCCATTCAATCTTTAATTGTTTGATTTCTTGGTTAATATTATCTTTGCCTTCATTGCCTGTTGTTTCTAATACAGCTTCGCTCAGTTGAATCGCTTTCTTGAGTAAAGCTTCTCCCTTGGGCAAAGATTTAATAATTTTGTTGACATTCTTTAGTTTTTCCTGCACTTCTTTCTTCTCTCCGTGTGAATCGGAACACTGCTGTATTTCTATTTTGCAATTACGTATCCAATCGTAGAAGCTGTCGTATGATTCCTTATATTGGATATGCGTGTTTACGTACTCTTCAAGTTTCTGAATAATAATAAAAGAATTTTGCATTATTTTTTCGAATTAACAAACAATATGGAAAACCATTAATTTCTAAATACTTACGCTAATCATATCACTAACAGTCTTCCTAATATCTCCGTATCTTTGTAGACTATCTTCAATATCTTTAGATTTAAGCGAAGCATCTTCTCGAAGTTTTTCATTGAGTTTGTTGACCAAATCTTGATGAGAGTCAATGTCTCGGTTGAATGTTCTGAACTTTTCTAACTTGGCCTTCTTTTCTGATAAATCATTGAGTAGAGAATCGTCAGATTGGATCTTCTGGTCAATATCGTCAAGCCATTCGACTAGGAGTTTGTGAATCTAAGTACAAAAAATCAAGACATGTAAATTTACAAGAAATCATTTTGAAATTCACTTAAGGTAGGAAATTTTATTAAGTTCTACTATTAAATCACTCACCTTAGAAATATCATCGAACTGTGAAGCTCTGCTGGTTAGTTTATTCCTCACATCTTGGAGATCAGCGATCAGTTTATCGAATTCTTGCTTCAAATTATCCGTATCTTCTTGGATCTTAGCTGCACCGGCTTGCTCTGTGTTCATTATCACCTTCTCTTTTAATTCTAGAAGATATCTCAGCTTGTTCTGGCCCTGCTCCAGAGATTGGCGCAGAAGTTTGATAGTGTTTAACTTATTATTGACCTCTTGGAGATTGTTTGGTATGTCGGCGCATTGGTTGAGTTTCTCTCGAGTTCTGTCCAGCCAGTCTTGGCATTCACCGTACAGAGCGTTATGTTGTTGATGTTCCTGCAAATAAGGATTTTATTACATTAGTGTTGTGTTACGAATCTCTGTTCTCGAAGTCAATATTTCTATGACTAACTTGGTAATGCAGCTCTAGTCTCTTCATCACCTCCTTGGCCAGTGAGAGCAAAGCGTTGTACTTTGTGGTAAGCTGAGTGATGCCATTGGAGATCCTCGTGTCAGCACACGTCTCCAGGAGAGTTTGCGCTCTCATATTCAGCTTGTCCAACTCCGCTTGCCAATCAAATAATGTTTGGAGGTGACCCTGCATAAATTAAAAACGTTTTAAAAATATTAGTCATAACTTTTAAATAAACAAAATTATATCTATAATTTCAACTCGTACCTGGAATTCTTCAAGAACGACTTTCTTTTGTTCTAAGTTGTTCTGCAGCTTGTTGAAAGATTGTACGAGTTTCTCAGTCTTCGACAACCAGTCCAAGGCTTCCTTGTATTGTTCCTCGTACTCTGTCCACTTCACGATACCTCCCTCGATAAGGGCCTTTGTGTTGTTTAATTGCTCTCTGCAAATAGATAGTAAACTTTCACAAAGAAAACCGATAAAATTAAACGCTATTTCAACTTCAGATACTTTTTTTCGTTTATAACCTCCTTTTACATTATTACTAAATAATTAAATAATACATAAAATACTCACACGTAGGTATCGAACTCTTCTTGCAATAGAGCCACTTCTTCCTCAATCTCCTCGCGGTCGTCCTCGTCTGCTAAACTGCAAGAAATCTCTCCTAGCTCGAGGGCCTTCTGCAGTTTTTTCTGACCTTCGGGAAGTTCACTTTCTAATACCTTAAGCTGCGATATTTTGCTGCTTAAAGATTCCTTATCTCCGGTCGCATCAGAACACTTTCCTAGCCTTTCTTTGGCGGCTCTAATCCATTGGACAAAGTCTGTACCGGCGTCAATAAATGCTTGATGTTGTTCCACTGTCTCCTTTTGTTTTTCATATAAATCTTTAGCCTGTTTTGTCAAGGTCTCGTATTTGCTAGTAATTTCAGACGCCGGAGCTTGCTGCATCAACTCCGAAGCCTTGGAAGTTACAGACTGTATCATTGGTTCAAAGGAAACAATATCTTGTACAATATTGTTTGTTTGACGGAGTGTTGCTTTTCTTTCACCGAGGCTTAGACCGGTCGTTAGACCCGCTACACGATCTTGCCCCTTTTTGGACTTGGCAACCTTTTGTTCACATACTTCTTGAAGTTTTGCCTCTCTGTCTGAAATCCATTGCTGCAACTGAGAATAACTGGAGCTATAATCCGCCCATTGTAGTAAAGCGGTCTCTAGATGTACCTTAGCTGTGGTCATCTTCTTTACCAGACGGTCCCACTCGCTTTGTAATTCCTTTAGTTCGGTGTTTATCTTATCTTTACCGTCTGATCGAGTATTCCTTAATACTTTTTCTCCGCTATTGATAGTAGCGTGAACGAGATTCTGACCTTCCTCACGACGCTTCAAAAGATCTTCGATTTGTTCTAGACGTTTTTGTAAGGCCTCTTTGCTGCTATTGCTTCCGGCTTCACTGCCGCTACGAGTTATCTCCCAGGCGTCGTCGATCCATTTCTTTGTCTTTACATAGTTGTCGTCATAAGTTTGGTGTTGCTCATAGTTAGTTTCTACTTTCTTTAGAACATCATTAGCCATGTTGATAAGTACTTGATATCTTGAATTAAGATGACGTAGTTGGTTGTTCACGTACGTGTCGAGATGTGACGACAGTAGGCCGGAGGCAGAAGAATTGAATCTATCGATATCAACCTTACCCTTATGCAGCTGATCTACAATTTCTTTAACTTCATTGACTTGACCTCCCTTTTCTTTTGCCGTTCCGAGTAGAGCTACTTTATGATTTTTAATAAGAATTTCCTTTTGTTGCAACCAGTCGGAAAGCCTTTCGTACTCATCTTTGTACTCTCGCCACTGACTAATTGTATTTTCCAATTGACTCTTTTGTTGCTTGATTTCATTGAAAAGGTCATCGAAGCTTTCTTTAAGAGCTTTCATTTCATTCTTAATTACTGTCTGTCCTTCGGGAGATGTGCTAGCTAAGACTACTTCACCGGTATGTTGCAAGTGTTCTAATAACAGTTCTCCTTGTGCTTGCTTATTAATTAATGCATCCAACGGAGTTACAGCATTCTCGATTGCTAACTTGTCACTCAGGGGTTTTGATTTTAAGGATGGAACTTTTTCTCTAGCTCTACCCAACCACTGTATAAGTTCGTCGTGAGCCTCTTTGTATAAACGATGGTCTTTGTACTGTTCCTCACGGTCTGAAAGTAATTTTTTGATTTTGTCATAAAGTGAATCAAATTTGTTAAGAGCCTCTTGTGCCCTCGTAGCAGTTTGATTCTGTTGACCGCTAGCAATCATTTCAGCAGCCTTAGCCTTCATTGTATCAACATCCAAGCGATCGCATCGTGCTTTTTCCTCGACTTCCTTAAGTTTCTCAAGTTGTGCTCGTTTATCAGGCATCGAGCTTTCAAATGGCGTTAACTCTGACAACATACTTTCAAGCCAAGCGTTACTCTTATCGACAAACTGAATTTGCTCTAAGAATCCAGCCCATTTTGTAACGGAATCATTTAATATATTTTTAGTCTCAATCATTCTCGATAATAGTGCTGACCACTGTTCCTGGAGTGTAACCAAGGCGTTATTAATAGCTTCGTGGCCAGGAGGTGCAGTATTAGCCATAACGTTTTGAGCTAGCTCTACTAATGATTGCACCTTAGTAAATCCTTCATCTTTCAATAACAATAGATTTTGAATAAGTACCAATTTTGTTTCCAAGTCATCTTGTGTGGCCGAACTTAAATCTGCGCAGAAATCTAACTTATCTCTGAACTCTTCGATCCATTGGGAACACTCTGCGACATTGCTAGTAAACTCTTGATGTGTCTTTACGTATTGCTGCCATCTGTTGGTCAAATCTTTCACTTTTTGAGATAGTGTTTGGTATTTTACAGTAAGGTCAGATATTTGGGATCCTCGCGGACCTAGCATTCCCGTATATAGGTGCTGTGCTTTTTCCGTAATGTTATCAATCTCGAGTTCCTTTGCACGAACCTCACCTTGCAGTTCAAGGAATTGTTTATATTGGTCTTGTTTTTCTCCTAACGTTGCTTTGAGATCAACTGCATGTATTTGATTATCCGTATTCCTTATCCAAGCCAAGCATTGATCCTTCATATTTTCGTATTCATTCCATTGCTGTATCTTGTTTTCTAAGCCTTCAATTGTTTTATTGATGAAGGAAACTAATCCCTCCCATTCTTGGTGAGAAGCGTCAATTTGATTTCTAATGTTAGCTTGTCCACTGCTTATAGTGCCGGGCAAAACATTCTCTCCTAACGAACGTATTTTATCGATACGATTCTTTTCTTCCGGTAAATTAATTTGCAGTGATTTCAACTTTTCACAATTACTGCTTAAAGCCACTCTTTCTAAATTCACGTCTCCCCATAATTGAGCTGTATTATGCGTTGCTTCTACCCATTCCTGAAGATCCATTACCGCTTTAGTGTATTGTTGATGATTATTAACAATAGCTTCGTATTGTTCAACGAATGATTTGGCCCTTGCTAAGATAGCTTCATGTCTTTGTTTCAGTTGATTAATTTCTTTTGAAATATCTTTAGTGACATCAGGCAAGTTTTGAGCTCGACTTTCTAAATCTGTTATGTCTTGTTGGTGGGCAATTGCGTCTTGCAAGTAATTTCTATAAACATTCAATTGATTACGTTTTTCATCCAATGTTGCCTTTAATTCGATGTCTTTGGGGAGATTCTTTTCAGCGAGTGTCAGCCACTGTTGAACTGATTTCAAATTGTCTTCAAACGATGACCACTTGCTAAGTTCGGAATCCAAGTTTCTTTCAGCCTTACTTATACTATCGAATAAGTTGTCTATTGCCTGTTGGATGTCTTGTAATTGTTGTTCTATTAATTCTTTTCCTTCCGGTGACGTCGAAGGATATAATTTTTCTCCGAGCTCAACTGTGTTGTTTACTAAAAGTGTCGCGTTTCGTTGTTGGCTAAGTAACTCATTCAGACTTTCTCGTTTCGCGTTTATTCCATCAGGAGTATTCGACAAGTTCTTCTGACACTCCTCAAACTTCAATTGAGCGGTTTTTATCCATTCTGTGCATTGGTTATACTTATCCTGGTACGCAGTGTGATCATTGACCGCCTGCTGACATTTCTTTACCAGTTCTTTGGCTGTGGAGTGCACGGATTGGAAACGCGAGGTCATTTGTTGGAGATTCATTGTGATTCGAGTGTCATTACAATTTTCAATAAGATCGCTGAACTCATCTGTTAATTTATCAACGTCATTTTCTGTCTTTTTAAGATTAGCTAAAATAGCCTGAAAGAAAATAATAGTCATTTTTAGTTGTGTAAAATAGTTAATTTAAATTTTAATTGGTTCTTCTTTTAAACTAGTCTACGACAACTACAATTAGTAATTAACGCCACTACAAGATTATTCGTAGTATACCAAAGTTCTAATAAGAACCAAAACCACTTGTAGTTAGTTAAAACCGTCACAATAAAAAGTAATAAAGGTCATAGAACAGATTTACTTCGAAATTCTCATATTCCCATTGAGTTAGAATCTAAAATAAATTAATTTTGGTGATATTAGAAACTACTGAAAGTTATTTTTCCTTATATAGTGCGAAAATTAATTTGTAAAAATTTCTTTTCTTTTAAAAATCTTACTTGGTCCAATGCTTCACCCAAACGTATGACCACATTCAAATCGTTCTCGTGATAATCAATTGCTTTACTTAAATCCTGTTCAACACATGGTTTAATTAGATTCAGTGCTATTTTCTTTAGATCAAATAAATTGTAATACATACCTGATATTTATTAAGTTGGTCAACTTTCTCCTCCAAAGTAGCTTTGGGTGTGTATGTTTTCAGGCTCATTTCAGTATCACTTAGCCAATGCTGAAGGCGATCATTTGCACTATCGAATTCAATCCATTGCTGTATTTTGTCTTCAATGCCGCGCTTAACGTCGTGAACAGTCGTAGTAAACTTTTCGAGATCAGCTCTGAGAAGACTTAATTCACGTGACATAGCATCTTTGCCCCTAGGCGATAATTTCGCATTATTATTTTCTATAAGATCTGACAAAATTTTCAACTTGTTGCTGCCGTTTGGAATAGCATCTAGTAATTCCTGAAGTTTCGCTAACTTGCCCTGTAGTGCAGCCTTATTACCAGTGAAGTCGGATAAGAGGTGCAAACGATCCCACAGGTGTTTTTGGTAGTCTTGTAACGATTTCTGTTGCTCCGCAAATTGTTGGTAGATTTCGAATGTGCTTTCATGCTTATCAATGACAGCCGACAACCTATTAGTCAACGTATTATATCTGTCCCAAACCGATTGGATGATAGACGTCATCTCATCGCTCTGTTCTTTGCCAGAATGCAATGAAGAGGCAACACTTTTAGCTTTTTCAGTAACAGTTTCAATAACCCGTTTATGTGAGTAAATTTCTTGCAACAATGTTTTATTTTTCAGGAGTTTCGATTTGATTTCTTGTGCTGAATTTAAGACAGCTTTCTCTTCGCTCTCGACTAACTTTTCTTTTTCATCTAACCAAGATAATGTCTGTTGTAAAACTTCTTGGTAACTAGACCACTGCAATGTTTGAGATTCATATTCTTTTTGTTGTTGCAGTATGCTGTCATTTAGTCTATCCCATCTTTCTCTCAAATCCCGGATTTCAGAACGAACAATTTCCCTACCGTTTGCAGCAGTTTCAGGCAAAACTTTGTCGCCAGCTGTAGTTAAAATTCCAATTTTATGTTCGCCGTTGTCGCGTTCAAGTAAAAATACTTGTAACTTGCTTCCTTTGCTTTCAATACTCAGCTTGTCTTCTTTTGTTGTCATTTGTGAAAGTTGTTCTTCTAAAGGTTTTAGCCATGCGTCAAATTCGTTACGTAGCTGAATGTATTTTTTATGGTCACTTACTACTTCAGACCAATGATTAACAATTTCCTTTGAAATTACATGCAACTGTTGATATCGGCTACTTACTTGCGTGACAAGAGGCTTAAGCCTTTCCACACCGCTTACTTGAATGAGATTATGGGACTCATCAACAAAAGAATCGATTTCTTTTTCTTTAGCGTGAATACCATTACGGAGATCAACGTATCTTTGCAGCTGTGCTTCCTTTTCTTGTAATGTGGAGCAGAGTGCTTGGTCACGACATTTCGTTTCCATATCCTTTAACCATTCAGTAATAGCTTCAATGGAAGTATCAAATTTGTTCCAAATGTCCAAAGTATGTTTGAGTTTTTGTTCTGAAGATCCTATGCTATCAATAGCTTTACGTAGTTGGTCGTGTAGATTATCAATTTCAGATTTAATTGCGGCGTTACCAGCTTCTGATGTACTTTTACTTACTGAAGTAAATATGGTACGAATTTCGTCTAATTTATTAGACCCGACTTTTTCAATATCTTTGAGAGCTGTAACAGCTTGTAACTTTCTGATAATCTCAGGTTTTTCTCCGACGGCATTTTCACAGTCTAGTACTTTTTCTGATTGCGAACTTAACCACTCTTTGAACTGTTGAATAAGGCGTACAAGATCTTCATGACGTTTCACACAATCTTCTAAATTATCTTGTAAGTTTTGAGACTTCGTTACAATATTCTGGAATAATTGTTTAATAGATTGCAAGTACACATTTAAAGATGCATCATGTGTTTGATCAACTAGCTGTTGGGCTTTATCGCAAACAGATTCGACAAGCTGCTGATGAGTCATAATTTCCTGGTGCATCAATTTATGGTTCTGTAGCTGGGCTTTCTTTTCTTCTAAGGATGCCTTTAATTCAGTATGACGCTGCATTGCTCTTTCAACATCTTTCAGCCATTTAGTTAGCTGTTCTTGAGCTAAAGAGAAGTCCGAAAATTGTAAGAGACATTGATCAAGTTTATTAACCGTTTCTTGGAAATTGTCACCAAAAGTGTCCCAGAGAGTTCTTATCTTTCTAATTTTTTGGCGGATCACTTCTCTGCCGTCGGGACTTGTGTGCGCGTATAACTTTTCACCCAAACTAAGGAATTCTTCGAATGCAGGAGTCTTTTTATTTCTAGTTTCATAAAGCTCCTTAGCTTTGTTTTGCTTTTCTTGTAAAACAGCATAATCTCCGACAATTTCATTCAAATCTTGAAGTTCCCCGAGCATATTCATCAACCAATTTTCCATGTCGTTAAAATCTTTCTCAAAGGCAGTGTGTTCAGCTACAAATACTTCATATTTTGAAATAATTTCATTCACAAGGTTGTTTAGCGTATGATACCGAGTAGCTAATTTAGATGTCTTGTTTGTAAGATCCGACTCACTTGTTACACTTTGTTTATTGCTGGTTAAATCGGTGAAGTCCGCACTTCTTGACGATAATTCGTTTCGTATTTCTTTCACTTTTCGCAAATGACCAATTTTAGCTTCGAGATTATTTTTAAGACTTTGATCTCTTAACTGGTTTTCTTTTACTTTGAGCCATTCTTCAAGTTCATCTAAAGTTTTTTGGCTCTCATTCCATTGCTTCAACATATCTTTGAGTTTCTTATCTTGTTCTTCACATTGTGTAGCGAATTGCGTCCAAGTAGTTTTGAGTTGCTCGTATTCACTTATAAGCACGGGGTGACCGTTTGGACTAGTATTTTCTAATACAACATGTAGTTGTGATTTCAGTTCGTCTAGAATGTTTTGTATGTTAGGTCCTTGCGATGTGATCTTCTCTATAGCTGAAATCTTAGAGTCAACATCATCTTTTTGCGTTACCACACTGTATGTCAGCATGCTATTCTCTGCAACAATGTGGTTGAGTCGATCACGAGAATCTTCGAACATTTGCACGTACTTTTCATGATCTACGACATGACGCTCACATGAAGCTATTCTTTTTGCAAGCTCTTTCGACATTTCTCTGTATCGGTCAATAGTTTTAGAAAGACTTTTTTCTGCTTCTTCATCTGGCATTAACTTGATTTTCTCTGTAAGTTGAGTGAGCATAGATTCATGAAGCTCTACTTCTTGAAGTAAAATTTTGTTTGCATGAAGTTGCGCCTTCTTTTCCGGCAAAGTTGCGCATAATTTGAAATCGCCTAATTCGTTTTCTTTATCGCTTATCCATTTCTGGACTTGATTAAAGGTATCATCAAATGATGATCGTTTATTTATAGTTGTTTCGATATCTTTAATAACATTATTCAGTGAATCGACTGAATTTTCAAAGTAATCTCTTAGTGATCTTAGTTCATTACGAATTTGTTCTCGACCTTCTGGGTTAAGTCCGCTGAACAAGGCTTCTCCAGATTCAATTGCATTATTAAGCAATCTTTGGCCCAAATCTTTGTTTTCACTCAGTTTTTTCACTTGTGCTAAATCAGCCGCCGATGGTTTTGCATGTTTACTCATAGCCGCCAAATCCGCTATCCTCGCGTTTGCGTCAGTAAGCCAGTTTTTAAATTCTACAATTGACTTGTCGTATTTCTCTTTATTGTTTTTGAGTTCTTTAAGTCTATTCAAATGATTATCCATGAACTTGCTGACGGCCTGATATCTGCTAGCTAAGTGATTAATATATTGCGATACCCTAGACTCAGGATTACGAGATAATATCTTATCTCCGATTTCAGTAAGTTTATTTACTTCATCTCCATATTTCTTCACATCTTCATTAAGTTTTTCAATTTCTGTTATTTTGTTCTCTATGAGATTAGCATCTAGTAGGTTTGCAGCCTCTTGTCTTACCAAATTTTCTTTTTCTTTCAACCATTCCGAGACATTCTCTAATAAGACTTCATATTCTTGCCATGCTCCAATATTCTCCTGTAGACTGTTTTTGATTTCCAGGCAATTAGATGTCAATACATCCAGATTCTTTTGAGCTTTTTCAGTTTGAATTGCCGCTTCTTGCGCTGTAGCCGGTTCAGCTACTACGCGTAATATTTCACAGGCTTCCTTTAATTCCGTAATTTTTTGTTTGCAATCTGCAATCCCACTTTCAACGTCAGCAAGAGCGGCAGTTTTAACTTCCAAATTATATTTGTCACTTGACACATCAGGTACACACCATCTCGTTTTATCGTCCAGAATCTTCAAATTCCTATTAAACATACTGAGTTTATCAGTAAAAAGTTTTTGCAGGAATGTTAAAAGAGTTATTTCAGTTTTATTTGCATGTACTAAAACGCTTTCAAATCTCTTTTGTAAGGTGCTAAGTTCTTTTGGCACCAGTGATTCGTAAAAACCTGGATAATTATCATTCATTTCAGAGACGGATTGAGATAGATTATCAATTTCATCACTTAGATTTTGTAATTCAACTTTACACGATTGGCATTTCTTCAAGCGATCTAAAATCTTAGAATTATCGCCAGACATATCGTCGCATTTGATAATATCGTCCCTAATTTTGCTAATATTATCAGACAGGCGTTTTATTTTCTCCTTTAATTTGTTTTCTTTAGACTCCAAGGACGACACTGCGCTCTCTAAATTAGTGGCCAGTGTTTGCAAAGCTTCGAATTCGTCATCAAGATAACCAATGATCGATGAAACTTGACCCATAGGAATATTTTTATTTAGGTTTGTTATTTGTTCACATTTAGCTTTTATACTGTTTTTGAGTCCTGTGTAAATCGGTAACTCTTCTTTGTATTTCGTAAGGTGATTTTGTCCAAATCTAATTTCTAAATTATCACAGGCATTTGATAAATTTTGACCAGTTTCACTTAACCAAGTTACAACTTGATTCTTCGTGTCGTCGATTTGTCGCCAAACGAGAAGTTGCGATTCCAAATCTTGAATTCTTTTAATAATGGCATCATTCTCTTTTTCCCATTGTGTTTGGGATTCCAAGAATGCATTTTCTAAAGGACTCGTGTCGAAACCTCCAAGTGTAGAGGCTTGTTTTAGGACCGATTGTTTGATAACATCCATTTGATCTAACAGACCCTTAGATCGTTTAAGAATTTCATAGGATTTTCTTGCTTTATCTAAAGCTTGAGCAGTTTGCACGTAGTCGTTCGGAGCGTCCTTGCACTCGTTGTGTAGTTGTTGAGCTCTGCTCATTTCTCTATCAAATGCCACAGTAAAGTTCTTTAACTCTTGTAATGTTGAAGATAGTAATATGTACCTATTTTTAGTATCACGCACGCTGTTAACTACTTGATCCCAGTTATGGTCAGCTGCCGATAGTGAATTTTGAATTGTTCCCATATTAGGTTGATCTTCTCTCATCAAATGTAAACCTTCTTCGCGCAGCTCTTTCCTAACAGATTGCTTTTCTTTAAGTTCTGTGTCTAGAGTATCCAGCTGCTCTGATAAATCTTGAATAGTAGCTTCTGTTAATGGTACCGGTTTTTGGGCCATATCATTTAAAGTTGATTGAACATTATGTAAAACTTCCGATACGGCTTGATGTTGCAGGTTAAATTTATCCCATCTCGCACCAACCTTCTGTACCAAATCTCGTTTGGATGTGACTTGGTTAAGCAAAGCTTCAGCTTTAACCTCGATTTCTTTTACTAAACTTACAGGTGAAATTATTCTGCCTGTGTTTTGATCAGTCACCTTAACCTTAGATGGACCATCTAGCAGAACAACATTGCTCTTCATCTCAGGTACTTTTGTTATAACATTGACAAGTTCTTGACGCAACACTTCATAGCTCTCAGGTGTGAGTTTCGGTCCCTCAATTTGATACTGAATATGACCTAATTGTTGCTTTGTATCTTCATACCAATTTAGCAAATCGGACCACTTTTTCAATATGGCTTTATTTTGTTGAATATTCGATTCGATCAATTGATAATGCTCCGCTATATTTGAATACGTGTCACTTAAAGTACGAGATTCTTCAGGATGTGATGTTAGAGTCATATTTTTAACTTCATTGTAAATATCAGCAAATTCAGGAGCTTTAGCGGCATGTTCCTGAAGCAAGACGTGCATAGATTGCAGCGATGGTTCAACTTTACCGGCATCTACTTGATCAAAGCTTTCTGTTTTTCTTCTGAAATCATTAATCCAATTGTCGAAGTTATGAAGTTTAGTCAAAAATTCTTGGCGGACAATAATTTTATCTGAAAGTTCATTTACTTTACTTCGAACAGTTTCTGCGAGAGTGTTTGTACGTTCTTTAATATCCGATACCTTGTTTTTCAATAAGGTTGCACCCTCCGGCTGAATGTTATGGCAGATGCTATCGCACGTCTGAGATAACGTAATAATTTTAGCTTGCTGCTGCGAAATTTCATTGCCAAATGACTTAAGTTTATTCAATTCTCTGTCTAATTTTTCCACCTGTGGTGACTCAACTGTTATGTTCCGGCTACTCAGCATTTTTTCACCGTTTTCTATCCAACTCTCAATTTTTTCTGCTTCCCTCTCAAAGTTCTCCCAATTAACAATGAGTTTTTCCAGTTTGTTGTTCCATTGGTCAGCTTGGTCGTGAACCACAGCCCAGCGAGAATGAATTGCGTCTACTTCGTCAGGGGCACTACTTTTTCCAGATAATTGATGACTAACACTAGATAGAATCTGCAAATTCATTAGTTGCTTTTCACAATCTGTAACTAAAGCCCTAGACTGTTGTTGAAGTTGTTGGGCTTCAGGTAACGACGACGGTTTGGGCACGGTACCCAATTTAATCTCTGCCTCTTCAATCCATGGTTTGATTTCGGCAACACCTTTTTGATATTTTTGCCAACTCGCGAGGTCGTGTTCGACCACTTTTGTTTGATGTTCTGTAGACCGTTGCAAGTCGGCCATCATTTTCTCTAACAGGGCGACCTCACCCTTAAGTCTGTTAGCGTCCTGCACACGATGTTCAACAGCCAACTTAGTTCCCTGGTCAGCAACATTTTTAATAACATGTAGCTTTTCTGCAACTACTTTCTGCAAGCTTTGCGACTTCTCGACTCTTTCCTCTGGGGAAATATTATCCGAACGTATTTCAGAAATCAACGCTGGACTTTCCTTCTTGATCCATTCACGAACATGTTCCAGTTTACGCTCGATTTTAACCCACTCCTCGTTAAATTTCTCCAAATGCTCGACTTTTGTATGAACTTCATCTTGAACCCTTTCCAATTTTCTTCCGATTGTTTCCAAATCTTTTTCGATAACAGGTTTAGGCTTGTTAGCTGTGAGCGATTGCAGTTCAGCGTATGCTTGTTGTAACTGCGGCAGCCTTTCCTTCTTAGCTTTCTCAATGTCTTCATTGATAACTTTAGTTTCATGTAGTTCACGGCTAATATTTGTCACGCCCAATTCTAAGCCTGGGTGAGCGACGTAGTTTTCAATCTTATCGATATCTGAAAGCAACTCCTCTTTCTGATATTCATAGTTGGACCACACCTTTTGTGTATCACGTAGCTTGTACAGTCGGTCGGTTGAAGTTTCGTAGGCAGAGTTCCAGCCGGTTTCCAAGTTCCTTACATCTTCTCTTACAAATGCTGGAGCATTAGCATCCTTGATAAGTTCTTTGCCGCGTTGCAGCATTGACATAACAGAAGGCCGATGTCGGTCCAACTTCTGCACAGCCGCTTGTTGCTCAAGGACTAGCTGTTCTACTTGCTGCAGGGATTGAGGTTCAGGCTCCACCATGGCCTGTTTCTGAGCACTTTCCAATATACAGATCACTTCATGGACTTCACGTCTGTATGTATAACATCTGGTGTATGTTTCCGTCTTTATCATGGTTATTTCAATAGTTGGAATAAGATTTTTATATCTCTGTATAAGATTTTCTAGTTTAATCTGTTCATCCTGAGCCTCCATCTCGGAGCAGTGATGTGTGAGCATATCCAATGTCTGAACTAACCACTTCATGTCTTCACGTTTCCTGTCAGCTTCGCGGCAGATGTTCTAATTGAGAAAAATTAACACATTAAAGTATAAAAACAGTAAGATAAATTAAATACTGACAGTACTGAAAAAAGGCAATAAAACAAATCAATAAAAAAATGTGAGAATAATCAATAAATAATTATAATTACCATCAATTCCCTCAGCTTTTTCCAGAAAGCATTAAAAAGTTAAAATCTGTTAAATCGAATATTACAGTAACTAGAATATGGAAATAACTAGCTTTCGCCCGCGACTCCGTCCGCGTGGAATTAAAAAAAAACAAAAGTGAGTAGCCTATGTGTTCTTCCAAACTATGTTCTACATCTATGCCAAATTTCGAGGACATACGTTCAGCCGTTTAGCCTACAAACTCTAACAAACATCCATCCATCCATCCATCTAAACTTTCGCATTTATAATATTAGTAAGAAGTAAGATTGTCAATGGAACTGAATATCTCTCAAATAATAATACATTTTAAAATTAGGCAATAATCATAAATTGTTTCATCGACTTACCTGGAATATAGTCTTTTCCCTTTCAAATGCCTCAGCGGAGTCCACTTCTCTGACAATACTGTCCATTGTCTTATCAACATGGTCCATCCACTTCTGCATATCTTGGAATTTCTCTCTATAAGCATCCCATTTCGCTGGAATCCTTTGCAATTGTTGTCTGAAATGTTCTACTCGGTGAACAGTTGATTCCCATTGCTGTTCACATTTTCGGACCTCCTCATCTAACACTGTATCTCCAGTTTGCTGTGTGTAACTTGTTGAGATCTTTTTGAGGTTCTGGAGGCATTGCTCCACTTGCATTACCTTCCCTTGGTTGCGGAAGTACATCTCATTCCTGATAAGAATACCATCTGCATCGTCACTTTGGTTGTAGGCCTGTAAAAATATTTAGTTTTTAAAATATATATTTATATATTTTATACACTATATATATACTTTACAAGATACCTTTTTAAGTAAAAAACAATGTAAAAGCTGGAGTCTACAATTTTGTTCCTAGTAAAAATACATAGTCATTAACTACTTTTGGACTTATTACCTGTTCTTCATAAACAAGCTCCTTTTCAATATCTTTAATACAATGATGGAATACAGTCTCATCTAGACGGAACTCCAATCGCATGAGGTGTGGCGGCGCTCGGTCTAACAGCTCCTTCCAGCGACGTTGTAACTCCTCAACTGTCTGCACAACTCGAGGCCTGTCCTCCGCATTCACCAGCTATAAATACATATCAAAATACATTGAACTGCCAAAGCAAAAACTATGCCAATTACCTTAATGCTTGTCTTAAAACACTTTTAAATAACAATCTAATGAAATTGAGGTATTTAGCTAAATAATTTAATAAACTACCTCAATTAGCTCCCGACCAGAACGAACGAGCTCGGACACAGCTCTCTCATCCGCGCCCTGGAAAAACCTCTTGTGGAAGTCAACAGCCTGCTTTGAGTCCACTCTCTTATCGGAGAGAAGAGACTCCGCAGTCGACGCCCATTCTTCAACGGCACGTTTCTTTGTCTCGAATTCATCCCACGCTCGCACAAGACGCTGTAGCTCTGATTCTTTACGGGTAGCCTCCGAAGATATGTGAGCAAATCTAGAAAATAAAAAATAAATTAAAACAAAACACTACGATGGCAGAAATGAAACATTTTTTAACGGTTATGTGTGGTTAAATATCCGTTTTCAATATTTTTACCGGCTCTTTTCTCTTTAAATTACAATTTTACAATTGTGATAATTCAGTTGTTGTTTACGTGAAATACAATTTTGTTTAGCGTAGTTTATTTTCAAAGTAAGAGGTTAACAAAAATGTTTTATCAAAAATAAGAAACAAGTTTAATTTTGTTATAAAAGTATAATACATTATTAATTTAATCGGGCCGAAATGTTAATTATTTGAATTTTGATATTTGTTTTGAAAAGTCAACTGACAGATGTCACTATTTTAATTTTGACAATGACAGTTGATGTTTGTGAAATCAACCTTTTCGGATACTACCAAATAAGTGCATCCTCTTTGGGACGTACAGTTTTGTTATGACTTATTATTTCAACCGTACATAGTAATTTTTTTATTTTATATTTATACCCAGACTAAATATCAAAACCCTCACCATATTGCGGAAACATATGGAACTATTTTTTTGCGCATCGTGAAGAGTCCAAAGGTTCAGGCAAGAATTCACTTCCAAAATTAGGCAGTGATCCCAACTTAATACTTTGAGTATAATTAAATGCGGTAAGTTGTCTCACCTATCATTTAGATCCTTCATTAGCCGAACTTGATCGGTGACATCAGCGCTGCGGTCGACGTCAGCAGCTCTGACGATGTTCTGGAATACTTTGTTCTTGCTCTCCAACATAGAGCGGTAGTAAGTGGTGCGGGAGAAGAACGTGCGATGTACCTCATAACGTTCTTCTATTACCTCTCTGTTTGTACAAAACATTTAAAACTTAATATTGACATTTCTCAATGATGAACTTTGGGCAAACATTCATAGCAAACATTTACACACCTTCTCGTTTCTGTGGTGGTCCTTAGTAGCTCATCGGCCTTGTCCAGCCACTGGCCGATCTCTTTCTGGCCGCTCTCCAGTGATTCGTGCTGCACGAGCAGCTGTCTATACTGGTGCACCTTAACGGGCACCGTGGCCCGCACTCTCACTAGCGCTTCCTTCTGTTGCTTCAGTTTCGTCATGTTGGACTCGACCTCGTCGCGGGGTAGATCAGCAATCGCGTTTTGGAAGGTCCTAAAATACAAATAAATTATGTGGAAGTGATGAATAAATTTAGATCAGACGAATTATGGGAATCTGTAAATCTCTCAGTACAAGTTTACCTGCTAATAGTTTTAAATAACTCTTCATGGTGTTCAATTTCTGAGTTGAGCTGCACCAGCTTGTCGATGTAGGTCTGTATCTCCACGGTGCTGGCGCGCGGCTGCCGGGACAGCAGGTTTTCGGCACTCGACAACCAGTTGTCCAACTTCTGGATGCCGGACGCCAGCTCGCGACGGTGGCGCAGAGCATCACCACCACGGACGTACCTAAAAATGAAGATTAATATAGTAATTCTAGGCGCAAAAACACACAGTGAAATATTACTTTAAGAACTCACCGCTCAGCCTCATCCCATACGCGTTCCCATCTTTCAGTGATCTCCACGTATTTTCTCTTGACCTCTGAACTTATTTCTTCAGTGCATGTCGCAGCCAAAAATCCAGCCGTCTCGCCTAAAAGCTGGTGTCTCTCTTTCCAAACCGTTAGATCGTGGAAGAATTCCAAACCCTCGTCTTCGGATACTCTTAACATATGTTGAGCCTTGTCCAGCCAAGTGGTGAATTGTTCCACTAACACAGTCCACCGCTCCCAGTGAGCGATCACCTCTTCGAGGACGCTTCTTGCGCATCTGACGTCGGAGGCGACTCTTCGCCACGTTTCCGAAATTTCTCTCAAGAACGCATCAATTTCTCTCGCTTCAGTTCTGTCTACTTCACATACTCTTTTATATTCTTCTGCTACCTGCTTAATGTCAACGTAGGCTTTGTCAAATTCTTGGAAAATCTTGTTTTTAGTTACGAAATTGTCATAGTCATCTAATAAGGCACGGACGTGTTCAACTCTGGTGCATTTAGCGGTCCAAGTTGCTAATTTTGCTTTTGTAAGTTCT